GCCTGAGTTGTTTTGATCAGTTGTAAAAAATCCACATTTTACCATTGTGGTGATAGAGTACAGAGAGAACAGTATGAGCACCTACAGCAATCTCCTGAAAGGCAGGTGGCCTGGTGGTTAAAAGCTTTGTCAAACATAAAATGTGCAATATCTATTTGTTGTGGATCAGACGGTAATTAAGAGTAATTTTTGAGGCAGTCATTGATGTAAGCCACTCTACTTTTACTCCTCGCTCAATACCTGTGTGAAGTGGTCTAGCTTGCTGTCAGGTTGTACACTGCAATAATGGACACTTGTTTTTTTTCTCTTCCTCCCAGCCACACTGGATGGCTGGAGTGAGAGCACTGCAACTGTGTGGATAGTGCACGTAGAGTACAGGCCAGCTCCAGAACCATTCCCAACTCTGTCCTGCTTGGAGCAACTCCAAGTGAGTTTAGTAACAAAGTGACTGAAGGTAGCTGCAGGGGCTGGGGGTTTGCACCACCTTCCGAGTTCTAGCAGTGTTAGCAGCCGTGGGGATAGTTCATTAATTCCTGAGTAGCATAATTTAAGGAACTGTTGGTTTTGTTACTTAAAATACTGACATGTTTTGCCCTGTAAGCTACAGAATTCTTAAAATGGAAATCCCATAGCTGCCAAGGCACTTCACACCATGATACAGGTTTAGATCTCATGCAGGTTAACGGAGAGAAAATAGTGAGGATAGGACAGAAGTCCACCATCCTTGCTTGCCCACAATCTGCAGCACCTAGAAAAGGATACAAAAATGGCAACTTTCAACTCTGCAGTGCTTTTTAATGCACCAGGAATAATTCCTATCACTGACTGTACTTAAGTGGTGACTCCACCTATGCCTTCACCTCACCCATTTAATAAATCACAGTGAATATCCTTTGGCCTTCCTATGATTCACAAACACTACCACTCATAAATGCTCAATGGTAGTGGCACCTGTGAAATGGCAGTTTTGTTGGCCATTTTCATGAAAGTAATTATAGAAAAAATGTACTAGGTAATAGGAGTAACAGAAAAATTACCAAACTGAAACTAAACACGAACACTTCATTATTACAGTCTCATTCAAGTACTTTTTCTTCTTTTTCATTTTCACACTTTTATAGGTCATCAGTTATCTGCAAGAAACTTCCAAACTCTCTGTGATTCATCGTCAGTGGGGTTTATATAGATAGGTGGGTAAGGCACAGGGAAATCTACCCCAAAACTCAGCATCTCCCAGTAGACCCACACATCTGATCTCTCTTACCTCTGGTTTTGTGCAGGTCACTTGAGAGCATGGCTATCCAAGTACTTATTTTGCAAGGAATTATTACCTTAAAGAGTTGAAATTATCACTAAGTACTATTCCAGTTACTGGAAGGATGGCTTAGTCACATGAAAATAAAGTACCTACTAAGCCATGTTTTCCAGAAAGTATTCTCCAGCAGGAGATTTTTTTAAAAAGTTGATGCTGATAAATTTTTCCTTTTGGTATATTAGCAAACTGAAATTGCCCAAGAAATATAATGCAAGAAGTCTGCCTTTTGTCAGACTACTTCCACTCCAGTTTATGCACCAAAGGAATTATGCATTGTACTTACTGAACACCTCCTTTGGGCATCTCAAATTTTCTTTTAAAACTAAGTAATAATGAAGAGACTGAGTTGGTGGGTTTGTCACCAGCTGCAAGGCTGCAATGTGCCTGTGACTGTAGTGTCTGCATTGGCACTTCATTGCACTACCTGCTTGCTCTTAGTTCATAGAATCGTAGTTTGGGTTGGAAGGGACCTTTAGGGGTCATCAAGTCCAACTGCCCTGCTTTGAGCAGGGACACGTTTCGTTAGACCAGGTTCAAAGCCCTGTCCAACCCAACCTTGAACATTTCCAGGGATCAGACATCCAACACCTCTCTGGGCAGTCTGTTCCAGTGTTTCACCACCCTCACTGTAAAAATTTTCTTCCTTATATCTAATCTAAATTGACCCTCTTTTAATTTAAAACCATTACCCTTTGTCCTGTGGTAACAGGCCCTGCTAAAAAGCTTGTCCCCATCTTTATAAGCCCCTTTAGGTACTGGAAGGCTGCTTTAGGTGTCCCTGGAGCCTTCTCCAGGCTGAACAGCTCCAACTCTCTCAGCCTTTCCTCATAAGAGCAGTGCTCCAGCCATCTTCATGGCCTCCTCTGTACCTCCTCCAACAGCCTCCAGCAGGTCCATGTCTTTCCTGTGCTGAGGATCCCAGAGATGGATGCAGTACTTCATCCAGACTTTCTTCTTATTCTTGCAGTTCAGTAAAACTGCATTTTTCCAGAGGGAAGAAGTTATTTTGCTGCTCTGTAGGCCAGTGGGATTAAAGGAGCAGCACAGTAGGTGGATGGCCCCGTGGCTGTTCCATGTTCAGTGTCATGGTCAGGGCAGTGGCACCTGGAGTGTTCTGCTCCCTCTCGGGAAGCGCAGCCGGAGCCTTGATGCACAGGGCTGGGTATCAACGTGGCTTTTTTCTGCCTCTTTTGGTAACTAACTCTGTGACCCCTTTGTCTGTCAGTTTGCACATATGGAAACATTTTTCCCCCCTTTCAGAGGTGTGGTGGGGATTAATTTAACTTTACAAAGTGCTTTTTGATTCCCAACTGAAAGCTACTGTAGGAGCTCAAAATACACTGATGAACTGGTACTGGCTGAAGATCTTTGATGTGTGTCAGTGTATTTGTTGAACAGTTTATTTGACAGTGATTTCTTTCTGCTTACCCTAATTTGAGGACTGAGCCAATGTTGTGTTCCTTCTCTCTCTAGATCCTTCTTCCTCTCTCTCTCCCGTGCACTCACCCACCCCTCAGCGAAAGTTTGGAATAAAGTATCTGCTGAATAAGGAAATAAAAAATATTTAGTTTTCAGATGTTCCAGTTATACTGGCAGTATCAGTGTACTGAAAGTCTTCCTTAGAGTAAACTCACATGTTAGCCATGGACAGGACAAGGCAGGGACTGCCTTCTAGAACAATTCTTCTATTCCACTTGGAAACACTGTGCCTTTTTTCCTCTGGAAAAAGAAATAAAGGGTGGAAGAGTGGCAGTAGAAATTTCTGATTAATTCCGTGACCAAGTAGCAAATGCATTACTTGTAGCAGTTCTCTGTCTCCAATGCTGGAAATAAAAATCATAGTTAGAAGTGTTTTCTTCAGCAGTGTTAGTGTTTTAGCACTGGCTTCCATTCTTTCTCACAGCTTTTAACAGAGCAGGTTTAAAGTCCTACGGTTTCTGTTTCAGTGTGTTTCTCAAGTTTCCAGCTTGTACCACAGTTTTTTTGTAGACTATATCTGAGAATATTCTGCTGTAGTTCTTTGTTATGTGGTGAGAATATTTTCACAGAAATTTCTAGCATCTTAATAAAAAATTAATGTAGTTGCATTTCCTTTATATGAAGATGTTGATTCTTTTTGGTTTTCCACTTCTGTATGGCTGACTACAAATGTATTTCAGGGCTTGGACTTGGCTAACATAGCAAATGGGATATTACTTGGGAGCACAGGGTTGAAATTAAGTGAAAGTAAATTAAACTAACTATCAAGCAAAGAGCCCTCCCAGTGACACCTCTAAGGCTGTGGCACAGTCTTCCAAAGCAAGCATTGAATGATTCACCATTTCAGACATTTCAATCCAATCTAGAAAGCTGTAGTAAATACATTGTAGGGAACATTCCTGCACTGGCAGGGGGGTAGACTAAATGAGCTATTACCAGTAGCTCTTTTCCATGTCTGACTGATAGTTGGCTAGGAACATGTTTAGTATAGTCGCCAATTTTTCTCCTTTTTTTTTTTTTTCACTTGGAGAGCACTGGTGACATTGGCAGAAGAATACTTCCTGTGTTTGAGAGAGGTTTGCATGGCAGGGTTGTCCCAAAAGCAGGCTATTTTCAGAGGAGGCATTGACACTGATAGCCTTAATCCGTTCCTAAAGGTTTTTAGAAAGGGTTTCATAGGATCTGACTCATGTGAGAGGGTGTGGTGGTATTGGGGATATCTGTGGATTAGCTGCTACACATATTTTCAGGTCTTTTAAATTCAAAGTCAAATGATCCTGCATATATTAATAGAGCCTTTTTTTTTCTTTTTTGTAGTGTATGATTCATAGCTTTTGATTTTTCCTGGAATTTTTTGCTTCCCTTGCCTTATAACCACTGTCCTTCTGGGTAGACGAAGCATTTTTACGAAATGGTTATGAAAGTGAGGTAGTGGGTTCCTCTGTCTGTGTCTGCTGAACTCTCCCATAAGAAACATCTCATGACAGTACAAATGAGAGCATTTGACTCAGGTTTTCAGATATGTTTATACAAGACTTTTTCCTTTAAAAATACACATTGGTGGCAGTAACAGTGATAGTAGTTATTGGTAATTTAAATACTATATCATTTCATCCTAATCAGGGCAGCTGTAGATGATATAACAACATCCTGACAGCTGCTGTGCACTGGTAGCAGTGAGAAGGCTGTGGGGAGCCTCAAGAGATACCCAGGAGACTTCTCTCCTTTTCCTTGGTTATAGAGGGATGTTAATACATGCCTTACACCAGTGCTTTGACACCTACAGAAGCTGTATCTCTGTCAGAAATTTCTGGCAAAAATATAATTGTCTTTCAAAACTGGAAGTGTTGATTTTGATCCACAGGAAACGTAAACAGTGTTTAAAACTTGAAACTCTTTCAAAACAGGCAGTGTTTTTTCCCCTTATTAATCCGATAAAAGGGCAATGGAAAAATGGATGAAAGGACAAGGAAACATTGAAGGGGGACACCAGATCAAAACCTATATACAGAATTATCCTTCATTGCTCATTTTCCTGTAGAGAAACAGGTCTTAGTGTGCAGTGTATTGCAATATGCTGCTGCTCTTTTGTTCTGCTGAAACTTTGCTTACAGTAAAGCTGCAAAATAAAAACCTGGCTGGCTCTAAATTTCCTCTCTTCTTTCTACCCTTTTTTTTTTTTTTTCCCCCACCATATGATGCCCAGGGACTCCAGAAAGCCTCGCTGAGAAAGAAAGGCAGCTCATGGGTATGATCAATCAGCTGACCAGTTTGCGAGAACAGCTGCTAGCAGCTCATGATGAACAGAAGAAGCTGGCTGCATCACAGATCGAGAAACAACGCCAGCAAATGGAGCTGGCTAAGCAGCAACAGGAACAGGTGAGTGATTATTACAGTGGCTTTCAGCTTAAGTAATTTTCTTGGAGGATTTTCCAGTAGTTTATGTTTCAGGCATCCTACTCTAAAATTTGCTCTGCGCCCCAAATTTTTTTTTCAATTTGTTTTCCTCGGTGAAAAAGTTTGAACAATAGCAAAAGAATGATTTAATCTGAAATACGTAAAGCGATATTCTTTGTTGTAGAAACCTTACACACCTTATGAACCGTCCATTTTGGAGGTATTTTCTTCCAATACTGGTTTGTTGGATTTGTTTGGTTTTTTTAACTAAGTGTAAACAAGCAAGTCAATTCAGTCCTCCTGAATAATCTTCCAATCCTGCTTGAATTCAGTAATACTGAATAGGTATAAAAGGAACAAAGTACAGCACTTGCATTGTAATGTCAGAAATGAAAAGGTTGGTTTTGCCAACTGTGGAAAGAAGCAGAGAAGAATATAAAGTCAGTGAACAAGTGTGACTTTTTTTCTTCTACACTTGAGAGTCTTGATTTTCAGCTCTTGCAAATGTGCCCTTTCCTGCAAATGCAAACACGTTTTCACATATGAGTAGTTCCAGTGAGCATACGTGGACATAGGACATTTTAGACAAGAACATAACTTATCTAACAGGTTTAACAGAAACAAATGTCTATTTTTGTAGCTGAATGTGAGTGAAGAATACTTAGACATCTGGTTTAAAATTTTATCAGCAGTCCATGTTGATACTTCTTATCTGAAAGTATTTTGTTCTGCATGACCATTTATTACAGCTTGGAATAAAATTTGAGTTTATATCATAAAATTGCAACTATGTGAATTTTATGAAACTCACAGAATTCTTTGGAATCTGTCATAGTTGTCATGCTTCAGTGCTGGTATTTTACCAAGCAAGTCTTAGGATTCTAGACCACTGCTGATACCTTCAGACATTTAAGCCTTGGTTGTCCCAATTTTTAATTATTTAAAAACTTCATCTTAAACAATGTGTGTTTTGGCCTCACGCCTGAAATCCCACATAGGGAGAACAGAAGTGGCTTACCTACTAAACCAGAGAATTTGTATCATGCTGTTGTTTACATGGTAAAGATAGATGAAGGTGCAAGTGTGGAATTGGCAAGACTCCTTCCATAGGGGACATCCCAAAAGAGCTGTTTCCTTTGCCCTACCTTTTAAAATCACTACTGCTACAGGAAGGCTGAATGACTTGAAATCGAAAAAGAAAATGGAGAGAATGGAAAAACCAGTAAGAAATCCTGCAGTGTTATTGTTAGGATAACTAGGATTTATTTTAACTGAAGAAATGATAGATACTTCTGTATTGTATAGAAATTAAAATAACCAAACTTTGAAAAAAATGTATTGATGAAAATTATTTTGATTGCTTAAAGAAAAGCTCCAGAAGGGGAACATTTATTCAATCTTTTAGATGTGGAGTTAACTATGAGTGAGGGTTTCTTATGCTAATAGTCTAATAATAGAAGTAAAAGAAAATACCTGAGGGGAAGAATGCACAAAATTCCTCCCAGTAAGTATGTATAAGTTCCCAGCTGACCCTGATATGTGTACACATACCACAGGGGAAGAACAATGCTCCTTCTAATGTTCATACTGCTGCACGAGCTGTTCATGAGAGCAGAGCTTTTGTGATGACTCCGATGAAAGTTTTTAAATTTGCTCTTGAAGTTTGAAGTATATAATGGTTTATCTCTGTTCATCCTTTAGAACTCTAATTTGGTTCTGCTACTGTCTGCTTTTTTCCTTCACTGTGTATAAAATCTGTCTACAGTAGGATTCCCAATCATTTAGTCAACAGAGAGGGAGAGTGGAAGTCCTTATGGCAATGTGAGAGGAGACTTAGGACAACTCCATCAGCTTCCATAAACCAGTTGCAGTGTTGAGCTGTATGGCCTTGCACTGCCCCCTTAGTTCCTTACAGTTGATACACACATGGAAGAGTCAGTCATTTTCCCAAACTCAGTTCCAGTCTCTTTGTGCCTGTTTCTGCATCAAAAAAATACATACACTAATACCTTCCTCCAGGGTGTCAGATTTCCATTTTTTTTTTAAATTTTCGAACAAGTGGTGCCAAACAGAAGGATATCACGGGCCACAATAATTTTTTTGGCCTTTTCTGCCTTCTCCTGCTATTTTCCAGTTGCTCTGCCAGTAGTGTTCGTCCTCCTGGTGAATTTTAGCAGTGCCATTTCAGACAGATTTTTGCATCAATCCTTCTCTTGATATCCAGCACAACATTTTCCATAGGATTCCCTCTTACACTAGTATTAACTGTGAATTGCTCCCGAATATATGGCCCTTGCTTCAGCAGCAGTCCAGGCTGTACTAGAATGTTTCTTAGCTTAATAGAGAGGTTTAAAGAACCAAGCAGGGTGGAAGTTTCTTATGGGCTGACTCCAGGAATGGTGATACACATCTCATGTTTCCTCTGTGCAATTTCTCCACAGATTGCAAGACAACAGCAGCAGCTCCTGCAGCAGCAACACAAAATTAACCTTCTTCAGCAACAGATCCAGGTCAGAGATGCGTCTCCTCCCATGCCCCTGCAATCTCTCTTTTCTCCTTTCCGTTTCCCTATGCTTTCCCTCAGGCATTATTGCCATAGTTTCTTTAAGAATCTCTGCAGATGGCTTACATCTTATTTATGGAAACAATTGAGGGTTTTACCTGTCATTAATCAATAAAGGTCAGTTTCTGGAAGGTCTTTTATGATTAACACAGTTCGTATAGGATCAGGAGCCAGATGTGAGAGGAGCTGGTCATGCAAACAAGGATTAGGAAGACCAAGTCCTCTTTTCATCAGGAGTGGCAAAAATGTTGCCAGAAAGAGATGATTTGGAATTGTTGTCCTACAACTCTTGTTTTTGAGGTTTTGCTGAAGCAGTTCTCAGTAATAGAGTGTACCTCCTTCCCTCTGCCCCAGGTGCTGGAAGTCTGGAAAATTTGAGCATTTGGGGCAAATTACTGTCTGAATGAGAAGCTGGTCAAAAGGTTGGCTAGATTCAAGAGAGCAACTGTGTAGGTTCTACGTATCTACGGGTTTATTCCCTGTGGTAGAAAAAGTTGTTAACCCAGCATAACCAGTAAAATTTATTTAACCTCTTTCTTCCTTAATTTATTCACAAGTTTCTTTTGATGCCATTGACTGTATTTCATTACTTTTCTTCCACGTGCATATGTGCATGCCCCTGTTTTGGGAACAATGCAAATCAGTTTGCCTGTGAAGGTTTTCATAGAATAACAAAGGAGGAGTTTGACATCTTACAGATATCTAGGATCATGGTGAAATCTCTGACTGTTTAAGTATGCAGTTATGTGTAGAGCATTGCAAGTCACTGTGGAAGTGGATACTACGTTCTCCTTATTCAGTAAAAACAGGATTTTCCTTCCAAAGCTTCTCTTTCGTATTTCAGAATTAATTGCCTAAAATTATCAACCATAACTGTAACCCATATAAGAAAACCTAATTCCAGCAACATCAGAGGAGTTGTATGGCTTCACACTAGAAGAAAACTGGGCTCTATCATTTCAGAGCATATTCTGTCAAGTATCAGGACTTGTATAACTATGAAAAACTTCTGGGGAATGTCCACCCCTCTGTTACAGGGCAGCTTCTGTACAAGATGCCCTTTGCTGAAAATAATTTTGAGATTGCTAAGGCCTTGTTTGGCCTTGACCTCTGTACTGTTTTTTTTCTTCTTCAGTTTGTGTGTGGGAGGGATTTTTCTTTATTGCTGCATCTTTAATAAAACTTTAGAAGAAAAACAATAGCGGAACCACTACAATAGAATGGAAAATATTTACGTTTTTAGGTTTAGCTATGGCAGTGAGAGAGGAAGTTGTTTTATAAGCAGTGAATAAAAATAAATTGAAGTAACATAATTTGACCTCAACCCTTTTAAGTTTAAAGACCTTGTAGATAAGAATGAAGTATGTCGTTTTTGGAGTAGTGGAGAACACTGGTTATTGATAATGAGATATAGAGCCTTTCATCTCTTGATCCCTGGTCCAAGTTTGACCTGTGCTAGTAGTAAATGAAAGTCAGCTAGCTACCATCTGATACAAGCTGCAAGCCTAAGAAATGATTTGGAGGTCTGTCTCAAGGGATTTCAGATGAAATACTGACCCTGCTGAGGTCAGAATTTCACCATCAGGGTCCGCTTCACACAAACCCCATCAGATTTGGGGCACCCTCCTTTTGGATGGTCAGACGATAAAGGTCAAGAGTTAAACAGGCAGAGAGACAATCCTGTCCTCTCATTCCCACAGAGATGATCTGTTTGTAGTGAGATTTTGATTATACTGGGCAAGCAGTCTGGACAGTTCCGTGCCTGTATGATCCTGAAGTCTCATGAACCGCAGTTGCAGTCCGGTAACTGTGAAGTCACTGATAGAAAAAAAAAAAAGTTATAAAAAAAATCCTTGTTGACAGTGAATACAAAGCAAAACATTTCTCCTCAATTACTTGACTGTTAGAGAAGAAACAATTCTTGAAGAAATCTTCCTTTGTATGTAAATGAAAACAATGAAGTCACCCTGACTTGCCCGTGTTTAAAATGGTCAGTGAGTTTACAATCAGGTTATGGTAGGTGGAACAAAATTGTGACATGAATGTAGATGTGAGTTCAGCTTTTCTGACCTTGCCCTAATTAATCTAACAGGCTCCTGTCACATTGGCCAGAAGTTTTTAAATAGCATTAGATTTATTGACAGGGAAATATTCTTGTAAAGTCTGGATAACTGTTTGACTTACGTGCAATTGAATGATTAGGCTGTAGTTATGAACACAACCTATTTGTGACAAAGGAATCGTTTTACTTGAGCCAATTTTTTCTAAGCTTGTAAGAGTTGCCATAATTCCAGATAAATTATTACACAAAAAAAGGCTTTTGAAATATTGTATTGAAAACATAATACCCTAAGGTTAAAAAAAAAAGAACAACCTGACTGACCCTGTGATTTATGAGTCCTTTCTCTAAGCATGCTAACTTGGAAATGGTTCCCTCTCTCCTTACCCCATCACACAATCACTGATACACACACAATCCATAACTAGGGAGAGACTGCAATGTCTCTCTCCTCCTTAGAGAACTGAAAATGCTGAGTGTAACTGCAGCTCAGTTAAACTAACCACGTCTGTGATGCTGAAGAAAGATGCTTTAGTTCCTTGAGCTTAAAAAAATACACCTGGCATGTGAGTCTCTAAATGACATTATGTCTTTTTCAAGTCTATCTCTTCTGAATTAGCTGGAAGGAGGTGCCACTAACACAGAAGACAAGCAGTTTTTCTCTGTACAGAGAGTTGAGTAAAGCGATAATGCTAAACTGGAGAAAAGTTGCAGATCAGATTAAATATGACTGTATGACCTCAAAATGCTAAAATGTGATCTAGGTGGGATTTTGTGTTTTGGCAAATGTTTATAATCTTTTTTTCTGCTTTTCAGGATGTTCTAGACCTAATTTGTGAAGAGGTTTGAGTTTCTCTGAATCATTAACTAAACCTCCCGCCATCTGATTTTATGCCACTTTGGAATGCATCCTCCCATGCCCACTGCTGTCTGTTCTATTAACCTTTGTGTGTGTGTGTGTGTTGGAAAGGTTTTCACTTTAACAGTTTCTGCCTGCTGAATATTTGGGGTCTTCTTCCCCACACACCTCGGTCTTGTTATTTTACCGGAAATGAAACTGGAATGGGTGTTTTGTCCACTCTTGTGCACCAGCAGCCCCAAAAGATCTCAGGCTGCGTTTCAGAACAACTCTGTAGCGATCTGCAGCTGTAGAACAGGCTGAGGAAAGAGCGTGCAAACACCAAGTATGGCTCAGCAAGTTCGTGGGCTGACTCTGGTTCTGTCCTTCAGGGCCCCAGGAGAACTCTCCTGGTGGCCTCCTCGTCTCTTGTCAGGCGACAATCTGCTTCCTGGTGCCCTTGCTCTAGAACATGGTGAAGCCTGGGGCTCTGTAGCTGTCACATCCTAGGGGCAGAGGGGGAAAGAAACTTGAAAGGTTAGATGATCCTTTCTCATGATACTGAGCTCTAGTCCCCAGGACAGGCAATGGGTGTGCATCGTATTCTGCTTTGAAAGGGGATGTCTGAGACACAAAGTTTTGAGGGGTCGTGCAGTTCACTCCTTGCACTTGCTCAAAGAAAAAGTCTAGCCCAGGATGATGATTGAATAGTTTGCTTTGAAGCTCAGTGACGAATGTCACTTTAATTGAACTATATTTAAAATGAAATATGGTTGTTAAAATTCATAAAGCAATTCATATTCAGTAGGGCACTGTTGATAAAATAGGTCAACCTTGCAACCGAAATTGTGATAAAACTGATGCTGCTAATCTCACAATTTTGTAGAAAGCCTGACAATGTTTTATGTTTTTCCCTCAAGCCCCAGCTCTTGGAGTCATGTGATGACAAAAATGCCAGCTTTCATTTCTTCAAAATGTAAACTTCCAGCTCTCATATTTCCAGGCAAAATCTGAAACCATGAGCACTACAAGTTCCAAAATTAGAAGGCAAACAAAACGGAGGCCAAATGCTGTTTTTTAAACTGTTCTGATTTTTAGTCAAAATTTTTTTTGGAGAGCCCAGCTCAAGATCTTGAAACACTTCAGGTTGCCAATAATGTAAAACTAAATCTCAAAGCAGCAACAAGCAACAACACTGCTTTACAGTGTCTCTAACATTTGGGCCACAGTTCTGTTTTACTTTCTAGTTTAATACTGCCAGTACTTCTGTACTTTAGTACTGCAAGTTACGAGTTTGTTTTCTTTTCTGAGTGACATACTTAGCTCAAGAACCAAGTGCTGTCTGAAACTCGAGGGCAATTCCTGCCAGACAGCAACCATTTCATGACTCTGTGTGTTTTAGTAGAGGGTTTTCATTTTCCTTCAGAGCTAGAGACATTCAGCAGATGTTTTGATAGGACACCTTCTTTGTAAGAAAGTTTGGACCTCTGAAGAATGAGAAGATCCTGACTAAATTCTGATGCAAAGCTGGGAAGAGTGCCACTGGCCCACTCTACCTGCCAGGTGGGATGTCACTTCTGCCTGGCTCCTGGCAGGTGTGCTGGCTCCTAGGCAGAAAGCTCACTGTGACCTTGATGGCCTCCAGCTTTGCAGACCCTCAGCAGCTTGTCTGGCAGGGAGTGTGGGCACCATGGCCCACCTGACTTTGTGCCCCTTTGGGCTGCAAGGTTCCTGGCTTTCCTGAATCCCTCAGCAGCACTGGGTGTCCTCCCAGCTCCAAATAAGGCTTTCCTTTGTGAGTCTGGATCCAGATTTCCATCCTCCCACCCGCTGTCAGCTGGCTGGGTCCCTTTCCCCATGAGTTGTGTTGGTAGATGGAGAGAGGTCTGGCTGTGGTAATATGTTCCCAAATCAGAATATTCCCATTCTCATTACCTTCTGAGGTTTAAGATGTTGTTCCAATTTGGAATGTAATAAAATCTTGAACACTTGGAATTTCCTGCAGGATGGTTAGTCCATTTTGCAGCCAGATTTGTTTTTCAAAACCTAG